TGGGTTCGAGTGAGAATCCGAAACACCAGGCCAATAAATTTTTTGTTCCAGTGATCGCAGCTTCGTCTTCTGAGCTGCTACCTGGAACTCGCCTGTTAGCTTTTATCAGCTATCCTATAAAATGCCCGCGACCCTGACGGCAAAGTCGTTTTTGGCTAAGCCGTAATCTTAAAGTATTTAGCAAAAAGGGAAGATTTTGTGCAATTACCTAAGAGGAGCCAACGGTCCTACGAGGTATCAATGGAAAACTGCCCCGTGAGCCTGCAATACCGGTAGCACAGAATACCAGACAAACATGTTAAAGGCAGAGACTTGGTCAGTTTGCAAACAGCTCACAACCGCCATCGATTTTTATCAGATAGAGCATATTCGCGTCTCGTCATGGATCTTTGCAGTACACTTTTGTGACTTTACAGGCTTTTAGTTCAGTTCTCTCGTAGACCAATGCATCTAGTGGAAACACCTAACTACCCGTGCCCTACGCTTGCAATGTCATCAATAAGATCAATGTCATTGACCATCCCAATATAAAAATTTTGATTATACTGCGGCAGAGAAGCTCTAAATTCGCTCTCACCCCCTTTTTATAGAGGACGGTCCTTACAAACACCTTGGAAAGTGAGGCTAAGTGGTCCTTAGATAGCTGGCCGCATATGAACGTGTGCTTCGATGGAACACTGCTATAAACACTACTTGTCGTTGTGGGATAGGATATAACAGCTAACCCGGAAGTTCGGATTCGTGTCGGGCGTTTTTTGTCTACCCTAATAGCAGTTAATAACAACAAGATATTGCGTCGATATCGACATGCTCGACGACTTCGTTAAGAGAATGTTTTACGCTATTTTCGAAGACGACACTAACGTCTGCGTCAACTACAAGAGACGTAAATAGAACGATTGCCTCTCCGGATAAAAGGTCAATGAAGAAATAGCCGGTAGGCATGTATTACGAAAGTCACTTGGTCAAATGCAGAGGCTTTTGCGTCCTGGGACGGTACTGCCAATGCCACGCTGTCCCAGCTGGAGCGAGGCTTTACGAGACGATTGATGTGATCATTAGACTGCTTTTGGAAGTGCGTGAAAAAAGATCGCACTGCAAACCAGTTAACCCGTAGGTGATTAGCAAACGATTTCACATGTTTTCGTCTGGTTTGTGGAAGAAATACCTGGGCCATCCTCGGGATCGACTTCAAGTTTTCCCCAAGACAATCACCAATTACTTTGGAGGCCCAGATAGACTCCGTTAAATGTATGTACATATTTGTCTTTTTAACGGTCTTTTTCAATATATACTTTCCAAATCATAAAGACCTTTCTCTTTCTGTGACGCCTACGAAGGCGTATTAGTGATCAAGGCGTCAAAACCAAACTTAGTATACGGGTTTATAGCCGCGGGATTAGATGAAAGTGGCTAATTTAATGGCATATTGTTAGGTGAGGTGACAGGATGAAAACTGCGTCCGCCGCTTTTGCTAGTTTCCGTGTATCTCAACAAATCGATATCGGGGCGACATCCATTTGCCAGTCCAAATCGCGGTCCATTCGGCGTCCGTGTCTCAAGAAATCGATATCCACCCGATATCGAGTAGATACACCCTGGCCACCATAGATACGCCTGTCCGTTATATATTATAATCATTACATGGTCATGTGCATACTGACTGCTAAGCCAGCCACTAGTGACTAGAGCCACTTGGCTCGGTAATTGTTCATGAAACGTATAAAGGAAGTGTTAAGGGTCCACTAATCTGGAAATACGAACCGACGAGTGAAATTCAATAAAAGCAAGATATGATGTTCTACGATCAAAAAATGCTCGGACCCGTCCCTATACTTACAAATCATCTACAAGACAGAAATACATCCATAGTGTGTCAAAATGTGGGCTTCGCAGTGTAAGTGCCAACCAATCAGCAGTCTGGTGTCAGGTATATTATAAGGATTGGGGGAGAATATTTCATAAGTGAAATAATAATTTCCCACCGGTCTCACTTGCAAAGTATTCTGATAAACAGGTTAGTGCCCAGGTCTGTGAACTATCGAGCAATAGGACACTCTTTATTCAGGATCCGCGAGGAGATTTCGACTGATCCAAGAACTGGAGGGCTTCAGTTGGTGAAAAAGTGCCAGATTGTCCATGAATCAGGGACCCTTGCGGGTCTGCTTGCCTTTCTTCCGGAATTTGCACGAGTCAAAAATCCAGTCAGGTATCTCGGTGCTCAGAACAAGTCTTAAGGACTTGACATTAGGTGCAGGGTGACCAAGAGACAGACAATATGAAGGAAAAGCTATGGTCCGACAAGAGCGCTGGTAGACATTGGTCAAGGGAACTTCGAAACGGATGAAAGAAAAAGCAAGACGTGTAAAAGGGCTAAATACCGCTTAAGTGTGGAAGAGGCAAGGCAACGTTTGTTCATTAGAAAGTTACATCGAAGCTTCAGCGTGGACGAAGCTGGTGAAATAGAGAATTTTCGTGGTTGTGGTATGGATGTAAAGCAACGTACGATAACTTACACAGGTAAGAGCAGAGGCGCCTAGCAGTAATTATCGCTGAGTAAGTCTAACTGTTTCTCTCACCGTTCATCGGCCACTACCCACAAATTCTACAACCCAACAGTCAATAAGCTAACGATTCGTAGGTAGTGGGGAGAAGGTAAAGTTTACTGAATAAGCAGTCCATTTGGTAAGCATTCGTTTTCCTGTTGGGCTGTTGACTGGGATGACGGCTTAACCGCCTCTTAAAGACAATGGATGTCTAAGGAGGATACTGAAACACTCATTTGACACCACCCTCTGACATCTGGACGATATTCTTGAGCTGATATTGTCCGCGGCAAGGTTAATGATGACTTAATGATCTTCTGATTCATGAATCCGAGGCCGAAATTACGGGTTCTAATACCATCTCGCTTGGTGGTATATTGCCCCCTCATGCGGGCAAGCATACGTGTTACTTAGAAGTGCTTCCTAGACGACAGCAGTCTAATCAGTACGCCTAGGTTCCACAAACGCTGACGTGCCCAGCGGCGTTTTTGAGGAAGGCGGGCGACTCCGACGGTATGCTTACGGTGGCTAATGCAGTCCTTCGTGGTAAACGTGCGCAGTGATGCAGAGTTAAGTAGTCATTGTGCCACTATGTTGGAGGTGCTCAGATCTGCGAAAACTGCTTTCCAAAATCGTATACTTAGGCGTTTTCACAACGTCTTCACTTTTTGGCAGGTTATTTTGAAAGCTGTTCATCGAAAACTTTGCCTGGTACGTTACATTCTATGGTCACCAAAAGGATTAGAGGTCGTTCTTTCGGTCGCCTCTTTGCAATGTAGTTCTAGGTAAAACCTGTCACGATTGTTCACTTATTGCTAGTATTATTATTATTGGTGCAGATGTCTTTGATTAATCAAATAGGGCATTCGACAGTATTTTTAAGGGGGCATACGACCACGCGGTACTAAGGCACATTCAGGCAGTTAGTCAACAATTTCTCTAAATCCGCTCATTATACGCCGATTAGAGCAGCAACACTTCTAAAAAGTTCATCATATAAGTCACCCATTTTATGTGCTCCTTTAGTATTGTTCGTACATGGTTTTTTTAGAATGTGCACAGGTCTGACAACGAACCCGGGCTTTAGACCCAATTATGAATGACCATGTTGGCCGGTTTTTGTCTTTGTGTATTACTGTATACAGTTTCTTTTATTTTCGTCACGTTTATTTTCACTTAAGGACGAAAATGATATAATATGGCTTTATATGGTGGTAAGTTTCGGTGATGTGGTAACAAGTTTGAGAACTCCTCAGTTGCAAAAATAAATAAACTGTCATGCAGATGAAGAAATATGTCCCCATTTCTGGGATCAGATTACAGCTCAATTCGAATGACGACCTCAGATTTGATTGGTGTTTGAATGGCCGAATCCCCGAAACCGATTCGAACCTCGTTGCTATCAGGAAAAATGTGTCGAACAGGACAAACATGACAAAGATGCCATAAAAACTGATATAAATGCGTAACAAATCAGTCTGTCACATGCCTGTGGATTTTATTTCAGTTTATTTCAGTTTATTTTGTAAGGATAATAGGCAAAGCCTTTGAAAACCCTACTGATTACATGTCAGCTCGTTAGAATAACTGTACACGAACAAAAAATGTTCACTATTAAAGCAGTACTTGGTTCATTTGAGTAGCATTGTCTCAGAGAAAATATTTGCCTGGACCAGGGTTATAAATTCAGATTCAGACTGTCGAGGGAAAACAGGGGACACAAATAATCATCCAAGCGTTTCTTGAAGAGTTGCAGGGATGTAGTCTCCACGACTGACTGAGGGAGATCGTTCCATTTCTCCACTACCCTCTGCGTGAAAAATTCAGAACGGAGATTTAGCCTGGACATTGTTATCCGTAACTTCATCGAGTGACCACGAAGATTGGGTGAAAGGTGCCACTGAAACATGTCCTCAAATTTAAGTCCATACTCAAGGCCATTTATTATCTTGTAGACGAGGATAAGATCACCTCTTTGCTGCCTGTAACACAGAGGGAATAAATTAAGGCAATTCAGTCTGTCTGTGTAGGAATGGCTTTTTAGTCCGTTTACCAGCTTTGTTGCACGCCGTTGTACTCGTTCGAGGCATTCTTGGTCCTTTACCAGCCATATTCTAAGTGGGGCCGAACAGATGTGCCGTAAACTCTCCCAAAAAGGTCTTGGTCAAAATTTACGAAAGCCCTTTTTATTTCATGCAAAACTCCCATGGCGTTTTTTGCAGCCTTGTGGCACTGCAGTGTTGGTTTCAGGTTGTTCTGTATCCAAACCCCGAGATCATTCTGTGAAGATTCTGCGGGGAGCCTTATATCTTTCAGGTGATAAGTCCTCAGACTCTCATTTGAATGAGAGTTGGTTGGACGCAGATGAAGGACGGAACACTTCTCCACATTGAAATCTAGAAGCCATTTCTTCGACCACGCTTGCAGTCGGTGCAGATTATCTTGAAGAGATCTCTAATCATTCGGACCCTTAATGACTTGCCAGAGCTTAACGTCGTCTGCAAACATTACTTTGCCGCAGTCGAGTTCCTGAAGGCTGTCGTTAACGTAAAGGATGAAGAGCGGGGGTCCCAGAACTGAGCCTTGCGGCACACCACTGGTCACATTAACCCATTCTGACATATCATCCTCGATACAGACACGTTGTTTCCGACCAACCAGAAACGCCCTTATCCAGTTCAGAAGATCTCCCCGGATGCCGATGTCGCTCAATTTGTGAAGAAGACGTTGGTGCGGGACAGTGTCAAAAGCTTTGCGAAAATCGATGTACACGACATCGACCTCAAAACCCTCTTCTAGAGCCCTGGTCCAGATTTCCAGACAAGCTGGCAGATTTGAGAGGCAGGAACGTCCTCTCCTGAAGCCATGTTGAAAATCCTGCAAGATGTTATTTTCTTCACAAAATTGCTGTATAGCGTTCTTTACTATAGCTTCCATCGTTTTGCAAGGGAGGCAAGTTAAGCTAATAGGTCGAAAGCTGCTTGCTGTCATCTTGCTACCTCCCTTATGCAATGGAACGAGGTTAGCAGTCTTCCACTGTGAGGGCAGCCTTCCTGTTCTCATTGACAGCTCAAAGAGAGTCGAAAGAGGCTTTGACAGCTCCCTTGATAGACGCCCTAAATTAGTTCATTTGCATTTTGCTATGCCGTTTGTGTAAATAGGTGAGGGCTCCTAGTTTTCCCGAAAGAAATTTTTTCATCCTGATCTCATTTTGCAATTAGCACTGAACTCCGCAAAACCATTCATTGAATAATGACTCAGAAGACAGCCTTAGTATTTAAATTGCACTCCGGTATGTCCTGCACAGAGAATTTTGTGACCGTTACTGAATTTCGATCCGAAACCCGTTATCAACAATTTTAAGTTATGACGACTAGACGGGTTTGGTATTCCAAAAGATAAGCAAGGCGGAACAGAACATTCTGGAAACAAGCGGGCTTTCGGGTCATAGGAAGAATTATTCAGCTCGGCTCAGCTATAAATGGAACAGCCTCTTCGCCACGTCTATAGCCTTGCGACATTTAATTAGTGTATAAGGCCTCTTCGAGCCTACGTCATTATCAGTCGGTTTACTGTCGACTTTGATTTGATTTATTTTGCCGTCCTCGTTATCGCTGACGTAACGATGCACGTCCGGACAAACGCAATCTGCTTATGTGCGAAACAAGTTCTTTGCTGTATCCTGGTAATGAAGGGATCTTGTCGAGTGTGACACGCACAGCTGGTCTACCTAGCCCTGACAGCCACGATGCTCACTTTCGTTAAGATTTGATTTACAAACTCGGAAAAAGGACTGATACGTGGGAGAGGGAAAAGTTAGTGAGAATGCCACTGCTTAAGATATGACCGCGGGACGCCATTTCTCACTATAGCAGCTAAGAAGCCCCTACATCTCTGAAGCGGCCGAGGACGTCAAGGATAGCAAACACCAAAGTAAATAAACGCTGAGGACAGATCCTGGGGGAGGTTGCTCTGCACAGAACTGTAAGCATCTCTTGATACTCATTCACACGCAGGAGAAGAAGGTACATTATGTCAGTCAGTCAGTCAGTGTATTTGAGGGAAATAGGCTAACGCCTTTGAACTCCCCATTTGTACATAAAAAATCGATAAATTAGCAGGATGTGAAGAAATTACAGCAGTAAGTGAATGCATACATTGATTCACATATGTCACTAGTTACATGGCTAAAAAGTCACATAGTCCGCTTGTTGCTGCAGCATATATCTGTCAAGGCGACATTTAAATGTCTCCACAGATTGAGACATAACAACCGTCTCGGGCAGGTTATTCCACGGTTCCACGACACGGTTGGAGAAGAAATATTTTCTCACATTCAGTCTACCCTGTGGCACACGTAGCTTGAAGGGATGTCCCCGGAGTTGAGTTGTGGTGGCGTGTTGGAAAAAGTCATCGCACCGAAGGGCACAATCCAAGCCGCGCACGATACGGAAAGTTTGTATCATGTCTCCGCGCAACTGCCTATAACTCAGAGGATAGAGATTAAGGTTAGTTAAGCGGGTCACGTATGGCCGTGCACTTTGACCTCTTACTAATTTTGTGGCTCGCCTCTGCACCCTTTCGAGCAGATCGTAATCCCGGTGCGTCCACGGTCTCCAGGCCTGAATTGCATATTCGAGATGAGGCCTTATAAACGTGCCGAAGACTTTGGTGAAGCAGTCTTTATCGAAAACTACGAATGCCCGCTTGATGGCATATAGCATTGACGTTCCGGCCTTGGCCGCCTTACAGCATTGTGTAGAAGGCTTTAGGCTGTCTGCAACCCAAACTCCGAGATCTTTCTTAGTTTCTGCTTCTCGGAGTGGCATTCCGTTCAGATGGTATTGCCGCGTACTAGGGCTCTGATTTCCGAGGCGCAGAATGGTGCATTTGTTCAAATTGAAGGACAAGAGCCATCTGGGGGACCACTCGTCCAACTGACAAAGATTTTCTTGGAAGTTGGTCTCATCGGCAGCATTCTGGATGACTTTCCAGATTTTTATGTCATCCGCAAACATGGCACAATCACAGTCCAACCCATCTACGCAATCATTGATGAACAAGAGAACGAGAGTTGGTCCGAGCACCGAGCCTTGTGGGACCCCACTCTCTATGAATGTGCACCTTGATTGCTGTTGTTCTACGCAGACAATTTGGGAGCGGCCGACAAGGAAATTTTCGATCCATTTGAGAAGTTTGCCACCGATGCCCATAATTCTCAACTTGTGTAGGAGACGCTGGTGCGGAACACTGTCAAACGCCTTCCGAAAATCAATATAGGCAACATGCACGGTGTGTTTTGCGTCCAGTGCTCGTGTCCAACTTTGCATTGTGTATAGCAAGTTCGTAACACATGATCTTCCCCTACGGAAACCACATTGTGTATTGGACAAGAGGTTGTGGGTTTCCAAGTAAGCCATCAAATCCTTTTTGATGGTTTTCTCCATCACTTTGCAGCAGATTGATGTCAGACTGACGGGTCTGTAGTTTGTCGCCAGAGCACGACTACCGCTTTTGTAAAGGGGTGTAATGTGGGCCGTCTTCCAGTCTGTGGGAAGAATTCCAGCATCAAACGATTTTTGACACAGAAAGGATAGTGGCTTGGCCAGCTGTTGGGCAAGCTCAAAGAGCAGCTTTGCTGGAATCTCGTCCGGACCGGGAGATTTACATTCCTTCAAGCTTTTCAGTTCTTCCAAAATCGCTTCTTCTGGAAACACAATATTTTCGATAGTGGAATCTCTCCTGTCCTCAGAATTAGATGGGGTAAAGTCCGCTTCTCTTGTGAAAACGGATTGGAAAAATTGAGAAAATTGCTCAGCCTTATTTGTACTGTCCGATATCTCCAAGCCGTCATCACCCCTCATAACAGGAATGGGATTCCTGTTACGTGTGCTTTTCCGCAAATAGCTGTAGAGCAATTTCGGATTTTTAACGGCTTGGTGGTGCAAATTACTCTCAAAATCCCGTCGCCTCCTGAAAATCAGACTTTTCACCTTATTTCTTTGAATTTTGTATTCTGTAAACGCTGCATTGTTGTTGTTCTCGCGAAATTTTTTCCACAACCTACCTTTCTTGTTGATCTCCCTTTTGAGTTCTCGTGTAAGCCACTGAGGACGGTTGGATATCCTAGGCTTTGATAAGGGACAGTGGTTCTTCATTAGATGCAGTAAACGATCCTTGAATAAATTCCAGTCCTCGTTAACGTTTCCGGAGAAGAGAACATCCCAGTCTATTTTTGATGCCTCAGCTCTCACTTGGCGAAAGTCCCCTTTCCATATATTTGGCCTCGTATTGTCTTTTGTACACGGTTCAGAATACAGCAAGTACTCCCATAAAAGCACTATATGATCACTTCGACCGAGCGGGGGTAGGTAGTACACCTCTTCTATACTGTCAGGATCTTTGGCAAAAACGAGGTCCAGACAACTGGCCTGTTGCCCTCCACGAGCTCTAGTTGGAAACAGGACATGTTGCGTGAGTAGAGCTTCTAGAGTTGTCTTTAGTAGATGGTAATCGAAGGTATTCATCGAGCATTTCGCATGCATATCGCCCCATAGAATGCATGGTGCATTAAAATCCCCCATGATAACAACGTCTGGTCGGCTGGCGATGTCTTTTATGCTTTTCAGTAGACAAGTATCTGGGTCGGGATCCGCCTGCGGGGGCCGGTAGATAGTTAAGACTTCGAGGGACTGAGATCCCCGCGCCTTTATAGTCAGCCAAATTGCCTCTGTGTCGTTAGAAATCTTGTCGGTCCTCTCACACACTGCTAAGTTGCTCTTGACATACATGGCAACTCCTCCACCCCGACGGCCTCTCCTGTCTCTTCTAAACAAATGGTATCCTGTTAATGCTACCTCGCAATCGCCAACGTCCTCTGACAGCCACGTTTCTGTTATTGCTATAACATCGGGAAGAGTATCGGCTACCTGTATTCTCAGTTCGTCAAGCTTGGAAAACAGACTCTGAGCATTGGTGTAAAAGAATTTTAGTTTGCAACATTCGACAGTGCTTCGTTCGGTTTGTCTCGGGTTTGCCAATATTATGTTGCTGCCGCCATCATGATGACTGGCTGGTTCCAAAACAACATTGCGTTCCTCTGTATTACTCGTCCCCTGAAAATGGCCAAGTTGCTCTCTCCCGCTGCAAGTCTCCTCTTCAACTCCGTTACCAACTCGCGGCGTTTCAGACGTTCCGCTGGAGAATAATCCGGCTGAAAAAAAACTTCCTTGTGAAAGTTTTGGAGGCTGCTTTTCCTGGACAGAAGTAAGCTAGCTTCCTCTTTACTGTTCAAAACAATTTTCAGAGGTCGTGGCCGCAGAGTTTCTGATTGTTCGCTCACCTTCTTTCCGATCCTGAAGGCTGCGCGAATGGCTATCTTTTCGTTCGAATTAAGCATTTCGTTCAGTAGGTGTTGAAGCATATTAAGGTCAGCGGAGATCCTCTCCTTCGGGGTAGGAGCATCCGACTCCGATAGACCCTGGACGACTACGCAGTGCTGACGATCAAGGGGTTTATTTTTTCTGTTTCCGGTGGCCTTGGCAGCTGAAGGTCTCAGAAGATCCACCGGAGTCGTCTGGGGTTCTATACTCCCGTTGTGGCGCTTACCCTTTCCATCTTGCCATGAGCTTGTTTCTTCACTTCCAACTGAGGGTCCTATTGAACACGCGGAATGGCTGAGAGAAGTTGATGGCTCGCTTGGGTTGTCTCCCATAGAAACAAGAGACTCCGTTGCTATTTTCCCATCGTCCTGGGTATCGGCGCACTTGCACAGAGGTTTTCCGCATGCTTTGTTCTTTGGCTGTTTTAGAGTTTTGCTCTTTCCCTTTTTCTTGCTAACTTTAGCGCTATTCACCGCGTTTTGCACACTATCGTTCGCTTGAACGAGTTCCCTTAAAGCAGTCAACTCTTTTTCGAGTTTTTGGACTTTCAGCAGA